TGCGGACTATTCAATGTCACTCGCTCTTTTTTTATATGGATCCTGCAGACCAATTACTGCAAGTTACTCGAGGTAATACTTAAGTCTGACGTAGCATAAGTCAATAAAGACAATGGCTGTTTTTTTTCCCGAAACCATCTACTATATTAGTAGTATGTACTGATTTTGGGAAAATACAGTATGAAGTATGCAAACACAAAATCTTCTGTATGCCAAAAATACCCAGATGTTGTACTGATTTGGAAAAAATTTCAGTATGGAGCAGACCAGTCTTCCTCACATACTGTTGAACACAACTCAAAGCGCCAGGTCAGACAAAGAAATGCAGACAGCAACAGCTATTGTAACAAGGGAATTAATCAAGATCAGACAAAACTTCCCAGACTCAATAGTCTGTTTACAGTTGAATCATTGTAAGTACTCAAAGTAAAGTATTTCATTCAGTATAGATACTGATTGTTTCAGACAGTTACGAGTGAGTGCAATAACTCCACCTTAACTGTCGTCCGAATTACAGTATTTGTGACACATGCGGTGCCCCGTGTGAGGCCATATAGGCTTCTTCACATATAATATATGCCAAATATAAACTGTATTCTTTATTTTTACAAATTTTCAAACCCTTTAAGGCCCTCATGCTTTATGTGTTTACCTCTGAGGACACAGAGAATGGTGAGGACAGCCTCCAGGGCCTGTGTTCACTCAGCCATGAAGACAGGGCCAGCCAGTGTTGTTTTTTGACAAATCTAGCCGCTGCTCTCTGTCCTTTTCAACATGCTCTCTCCTGGTTTTGGACATAAATAGAAAGCACTCCGGGTCAGTCCTTGGATACTGCTCTCTCTCTGTCTTGCTCTTGTGTGTCTGACACTGGGGCTAATTTCATCTGTTGAGAACCAGTAGTCAACACAAAATTTGTGCAGATTGGTGCACCTGATCTGTTCCGACATTTAGGTCCTTCTTGTGTTATATTTACTTACAACACTCATTCAGAAATCTACCATAAAAAGGGAAAGATTGATGTATAAGATGTAAAGATAATTAACTTCAGTCACCCTGCTGGAAGACCTGATGAAGACTTGTTGTGGGAGGAATCTGTCTGCTATTGGGAGGTTGACCTGACAGTGAATGAATGGCAGCTTAACACGCCTCTGTTGTTTGACCTGCTCTGTGTGAATGCAGAGTTTAACTGCAAACTGTGCTGTCAGCCTCTGAGTAGTGGCACAGGTTATACCTCAAACATTGCAAAAAGGAAGTAAATTAAAAGAAGACAACCAACTGTAAATTCAAGTAAACTTTACTAAATTTAAAGGGCAACTAATCCCAATATTTTCGGCTGAAGTGCATCTGAATATCTTTACATATCTACATATCTTCATCAGTTTGACTTATTTCTTCCCTCATCTGGACTTCAAATGGAAAACTAAGGATCATGCTGTATTGCCCTCAGCATTGTGTCTTACTGTAAATCATGCTGTACCAGTGGCAGCTGCTGTGTACAACATGATTCACAGTCACCGCAGTGTCTTCCTCTAAAAGAAATGTTTCCATGCTTACCATGTTGGTTCTTTTCCTGTACTGGTCAACTGTCAGAGGCCTGCTGCTCAACCACCTGCCACACCATCACCAAATCCTGCACCAATGATGGTGCAACCCAAAGCAAGCCAAACCTGTTAACACACACTGTGCATGTTTACCAAACATGAACAAATGGAAAGGATAATCAGAGGACACATGGTGGGACTTTGTGGCTTACATTCCTAACACAAAATCAAGTCTTGAGACAAGGAAGTGAGTAGTTATGAATTATCCAAAATGGATATATTTAAAAAGAATACAGGGTTAATGATGTATAAAAAGGGGAACATTTCCATTATTCTGACGCTTAATTTTTTCATGCGTAAAAACATGGGCAGCAGTTTTTGACAGACAGCTTGATTTATCAACCAAAATGATTATTTTGAAATCGTTAACTCTGATTCCTTTACTGGAGGGCATCAGAGATATTTCATGTGTCATGTGTCATGTGTCAACAAATCTACTGGTTATAGGCAAACAAAGCAAGTGGCGTCTCTGTGCCAAAGCTGTTGTGTGCATTTGAATGTTCCATTATGCATTTATTCAGGGCAATATTATCCTCGTATATGAAAATGAGCCTTAAAGCAAACATGTCTTATTCACAAAAGATGATGCTGATATTTACCATGTGACGTCAGAGTGAACTATTATTGACTGCTGAAAACTGGGGGTAACTGCACCACAGTATTATATATATATATAGATATAGATATACAGTTTACAAACTATGTCACACTATCGGATATAGCTGTTATTGGGAAAACAATTGCACCTTACTAAGATTCTATTAAAAAAGAACACCCATGATTCCCTGCCAGCTTCAACTTCATCTTTTGTTATTGTTCGATTGAGAGACCCCTGGTGTCGGAATCTACATACTGTGCCTTTAATGAGATTTCAATTCGTCATTTGGCTTAGTTCATTTTTTTTTTTTTTAATTTGGACCTGTCAATAACTTATTTAACTTCAACTGTTCACTTGGGTTTGTGAGGGAAAAAGTCAAAGTGAACACGAGTAGAACATAGAAACTCTAAATAAAATCACACACAACATTTTATCTGACACTATAAACACTGAAACCCTGACAGCAGCTGTGTGTTACAGTGATTCTTAATGTCAGATTTTGATGCTGATCCATGCTTTGATATATTCCATAGCACCTTATTAAAATGTGCAGCTTTGCCTCAGAGCTAAAAAAAAAAAAATCTCTCATCTGAAAACTGTCAAGTCATCACTCCTCTCTCACGCTGAAGCACAGAATGCCTTTGAACTCAGAGGTCTGAATTATTGACAGTGACTGGCCCACAGTTTCCTCAGTTAACTCCACGCAGCTTGGTTCATCGTCGCTCCGCTCTGCTGCAGAGGGCACGGCCGAGCGTGTGTGTGTGTACACTGCACCAGGAGAGGCTTCATAAATGATTTACCAGCTGGTTCTCCCTCGAAGCACCAGAGGAGACACAGACAGAGCAACACTTACCCTCTGAAGGAAGCCTTTGAGGAATGCTCTCCATGCTAATCAGATGCTACTTATGGAGATCTGCAGAGGTTTTTGTATGCAAACATGGAAAAAAGTATTTTTCTATTTTGGATTTGTTGGTACTGAGAAAATAGAACCAGAAAGCACCTATTCTCTCTCTCACACACACACACACACACACACACACACACACACACACACACACACACACACACACACACACACACACACACACACACACACACACACACACACACACACACACACACACACACACACACACACACACACACACACACACACACTGTGTGCAGAGTAGAGCCACTCTTTTGAAGGGCCCATCAGCTTTAAGATGTGAAGTAACCATTCATGAAATTATTAATCTAGAGATCTTATTGCTTGAAATTAGGACATTAATCTTATTTTCTGTTAATTACGCAACACAGAGTTCCTACTTTACTTGAACTGACAGGCTTTGTGATGAGTGCTAATTTCACATCAAAATCTACTAGCTATGTCTTTTGACAGATGCAAGGAATTTGACATTATTTTTGTTGCTTTAAATGTACTTGTCTGAATTTATTACATAACAAAGCTTAACAAATAAAGAGACCTAGCACCTAAAGACCTAGTATTATATGCATAGGTGAGCTAAAAAGAGTAGCACCTATAACCAACCACATGAATACAAATGGGTCTATATACGTTGAGATTTTCTGTAAGTTGAAAATGGTTCAAAAATGTTCAAATCAAAATACACAGAGTGTGAGGTTATGTACAGTACATATATGTATTCCTTTCTATACATCAGGTATCGTTCATTAAATTCTGTGTCTAAAATCAATCCAAATAAGATATAGATTTCAATACTGAATATAAAAAGTAGGATGTGTAGTTCTTGTGTTGTAATTCTGCTTCTTTCTGGGGCAGCTGCGGCTCAGAGTTGGTCATCCAAAGGCTGCTGGAATAGCTTAATACTGACAAAGATTTCTTTAAAGTACAAATTCATGCTTTGTCGGAATAATCCACAAAAGGTGATGTGCAAATGACCCCAAACAATGAGGTTGGATCAAACATTTTTAAGGATATCTTAGGACATATTTCACATAAGGCATCATACAGAGGTGTATGGTGTATTTTTTTTTTTCTGAGGATGACTCACAAAGACATCCTGCAATGCAAGACATGATTCCTCCTGGTTCCACAAAGTGAAACAAGTGCATTCAGAAGCTTTTGGTTTCATCACGTCGTGCCAGTGTGTGCCTCTTCTCAAGTAAGTTGGTCAGGGGTTTGATCCCCAGTCCCTGCTGCTCCCCCTGCTGGCTCAGGGGAGTGTGAATGTAGACATTTAAAACTGATAGACACTTTACATAGCAGCCTCTGCCATCATTGTGTGATTGTGGTGTGAATGGGTGAGTGTGACCTACAGTGTAAAAAATGCTTTGAATAGTCAGAAGACTACAAAGGCGCTATACAAGCTCAAGTCTATTCACTCTTTCTTTACTGTTCATCTCGTCTCCATTAATGTATATAAGGTGTATGTGATACTTCTTGCCAAGAATGTGAACGATGCATAGATGTTCAGATGTACAGATATAACAGATGTGTGGAAAAAACATGACGCCTCTGGCCCTGACTGTCCCCGAAGTAGAGGCTAAATAAAAACATTTCTACACAACACCATATGGATGTATTCTGCATCAGTGAGCCTCTTTGGAATATTGCAAAGGAGAATATATGGTACAGGGGGTCCAACAAACACACAAACAGAGCAGGCTGAGAAATATATAGAAAGCAAGGGAGTGGATCAAAACGGCCGCAATCACTGGAGCCAACTCCAGCAAGACTCTCATGATTTTATTCAGACTTTAAAAATCTGTCTGCAACTTTGAAATCCATTGAAAAGTTGGTAGGTGTAAGGCCAGCATTAAAAAGAGTCATCTCTCACCTGAGACCATAGAGCACAGTTCCATCAGGGTGCAGTCTGATCATTCGGTTTTTCACGGTCACTCCATGGACGAAGGACTTCTTGTCATTGATGAAGTATGTGTCAGGGACCCACAGCTGGTCTGCTACCCGGTTGTCCAGGGTGAGGTTGAGAGGGATACCGGTGTAGGAGAGGCGCTTGTCTCTCCAGGATTGCTGGAAGTACATGGTGATGGTGTAGTCCTGTAGGAATGACACAGAATAAGGTCAGCAATTCAAAAATAAGGCCTAGATCTCTTGTTTCCTGACAGTTGTGTATCTGTAATGAAGACACATTCTTATCTTTTAATGGTAACTTTACCAAATGTAGAGCTAAAGTATATTTTGGCCTAACCACGGACGGATCTCTAAAAATAGTACTGACATTGGATTATAATGAATTGTGGGGTTCCCCAAGGCTCAGTACTTGGGTCATGTTTTCAGCCCAGTCCAAAAACGACTTTTTGCTACACTAGACAGGGGTTGACATTTTTTATAGCTCATCTGTTTTAAATTTGATAGAGGGTTAGGGTTGGATTAAATTAGGGTTGGAGCTAAATTGACTGACAGGCATTAGTGTTTTAGCTGTTTGCCAGGAGGCTTACAGCCCGCCTCAGCTCCACCTCTTTGCCCGTTTCTGGACTGCAGTCGCCTCTGTTTGGCTTCAGAATGGCTCTTCAGAAAAGAACTGGGGGATCTCACTGAGATTACGTCCATGTTTTATGCAGTTACGGCTGTACCTCATTCTGCCACATAGTGAATACTGTCCCAACCATGTTCTCTGTGTTCACTAATCATATCAATTAATGGATTTGCCAAAACATTTAGGGCTAAACAAAGAAAACTGATAAAGCTGACTTTAAATGGAGAGTTTGGTGTTTTAAAATGGGGTTCTTTTTAATAGAAAGTGCTTTAGGCGATAACAGTCAGCAGTCATCCCCTAATTTGTTGAAGCCAGCCAGAGTTCGTACATGGAGGATAGGCCATGGACCACTGCAGACCTGGTCATATGAAACATGTACTTAAGCCACTAATAAGTCCTTTGTAAGTGGTCACTATATAATTGTATTAAAGGATGCATGTAAGGGCATGACCTAAGGTGTGTTGAGACTAAAAACAAAGCTAATTTTTGGCTTGAATTATTCGCACATGCTTGCCTGTTTGCCATATCATTATGTTCCGTCAGTTAAACACAACCCATAAATATTCGATAGTACTGCCAAGATTTCTTGGATGGACACAAACTAGCATGACACACATGACTACAGCAGAGCGCCTGTCCATCTGTCTCCCATGTGCAGCAGTTTCACTTTGTCTGGCAGGGCACACGTTGGCTGTAATATTATTTACTACAGTAATTATAACATTTAGCGTTGATTAAACTACCATTAGCTGTTGCAAAGGCTTCTGAAATAGCTAAATAATTACATAGATTTAAAAAAGTAAAAATGTATACTTTGTCAGGATTGTGCACAAAAGGTGATGTGCAAATGACCCACATAAAGGAGGTTGGATCAAACGTTTTTGAGGCCATCTTAGGATGTCTTTCACATAAAAAGTCACACAGAAGTTTATTGTGTAATCTTTAATAAAAGGACGAATTCAAAAGACACCCTGTAATCCAAGACATGGTCAGAAATATTGGCATCCTACTCCTGAGTCCGCAATGTTTTTCACATAAAGTTAAACGAGTGCATTGAGAAGCTTTAGGTTTCAGCACGTCGTCCAGCCAGTGCTGGCCAGTTTTCAGGTAAATACCTCGTGCGTGGGTGTGCAATATGATCTGTGCGGGAAAGGTGATCTCCGCCAGAAACAATTAAAAGTGCTCCATAGGGAGGCATTTACAGGATGTAATAACACTGAATGGTTATTGATGAAGTAATAACTGCCATAAATTATTAAATAACTGGGGTTTACTGGGATGCAGATGTAAAGAACTACACATTTGAATCGCTCTCTTTGGCTGTAGCAGCCAATAAAGCCGTGGAAGTAACAGAATCTGCTGTTCACCAGCTGGATGTGTCGACTCAGTGTAGGAGTGATATGAATATTTTGTTCACAGTGAATAATTTGGACGGTTGCAAAAACACCTGAGACAAAAGAAGAAGAAAAAGGCATTCATATAAATAGCACATACCCTATATAACTAAATATATAACTCTCATCAGGACCACAATACACAACTGTGATACTACCACATTTTTATCCTTTGGATACTTTCCCTCGCAAAAGGTTTTTTTGAGAGTATAGGCTGTTGTCATGAAATGTCTTATAGGCTTTTGGTTGTTGTGATTCTTTTCTACATAACTTTTAATCGATATAGAAACAGACAAAGAAGTGGAGTTAACGTAAGACGTTCGGTAACACTTTCAACACCTGTCAGGCACCTCGATCATGCCCTCAAATATGCCATTGTATGCATAACTCATAGCCTTGTTATAACTGATTCATCATGATAAGAAATTAGCTATTGAGGATGTCAAAATGTATATTTTTTGCTGTAAGAATTAGTATATGAATAAAGGACCTGATAGGCAACACTTAAGCATGCCCCAAGTGGACATTTGAGGAACTGCAGTTTTGTTGCACATGAAGCAACAAGGCTTCATTATTAACACTGGAAGTTGCTGCTTGGCTTTGACCCGGCAGGATAAATAACAATAAGCAAAGGACTTTCATCCAGGGATTCTATTTCTCAAGTGTGAAACCAAACATCTTAGCTCACTTTACTTTTTAAACCAAACCATGATTGTTTAAGTCCTAAATTTGAAGAGACATGGTTATCATAACACCCCACCATCTAAGCTTAAATAAATTATCATCGTGGGGTAAACACAGTAAGTCAATTAATACACGGGAAAGGATCCTGAGCTCTTGGGTGAAACAAGAACATGTCTCTGAGAAGAGAAGTACTTTTCAGCAGAAAACCTGCTAAAAAGACAAACTTGTTTATGACCATGTCTTGCATTGCAGGATGTCTTTGTGAGTCATCCTTGGAAAAAAAAAATACACCATACATCTCTGTATGATAAACAAACTTGTTTATTTAAAAATGTTTATGGTGAGCTTAATGTGTGAACGCAAACAGCCGCTCACCAGTGTGTTCTCTTCCATTCTTTCATTGTTAATGATTCATGATTACGACCAATAACACGCAGAATTGATAAAAAGGCAAAAAACTTTTATCATGGTGTCGGACTGTTTCTTCATCCACCGTCTTTGACTTCCGCATTGTCTTTTACTTTTTGTCTTGCCTCAGAGAGACATGTGTGAATGAGACACTCAAGAAGATTTTAGAGGCAGGCGGACCAGGGGTGCATGTGTGAAAGTGACTAAAGTCACAGATGGTGCAGGGGTGAAAAGAAAGATGGAGGTCTTTAGGGAAAAACACACCCTATTTGAGGCAATGGTAATGCTTTATAAATACCATGAATAATGTGAGATTGCTTGTTTTGTAGATTTAGTTTGGACAAAATGTATCCGTCTTACATGATTGGCTCCCATTCATCTTCTCTGTAAGGGCCTGACAGGTCTTTAAAGATCATGTTTTGCGTTGAAAGTATTTAGCAGTAAGACTGTGTGTGTGTGTCATTGTTGCTGTGTGACAGTGCTTGAACAGTAGTGTACTTGCGCTGAGCTCCATGATTGAGTCTGGCCTGTCAGAGGGCAGAGAGCCACAGCTTTCTGAGCAGTGTGTCCCTTCTCCTCAAAGATAACTCGTTCCAGCCGCAGCGCAGACTGCTGAGGTGGATTATGTTGTGTAACGTCACTTCTTATTAAGCAGCCAGAACACTCACTGTCACTCGTTCCAATTCTCTTCACAACTCCTCAGAGAGCCGAGCGGCCTCCTTCACCTGTCCTTCAGTGGCTCCTGTCACCACATCAGCCTGAGCATGCTGCAAGCCTGCGGTCAGCAAATCCACCCACCCCTAAACGCCACCCAGGCCCCTCCCTCTCTAACACCTCTGCATCCAATCACAAAGTTTTTGACAGCTCATTTAATATGGCAGAAGAATATAATTTCCAATGAGTTTTACCACGACTGTGAAACCTCTCCTTCCACTTTTCAGACTTAAAAAATCTGACAGCTGTCTTCTGCACCACATGCTACATCACAGCACACCCAATAATTATGACAAATGATTTGCAAACTGTCGATGATGCTCGGTCAAACAACTCCATGATTTTAAAAATAGAAGCATGAAGTATTGATTTGCACTACCAGTAGCGTGAAATTAGCATAACAAATACAATGCTTGTGTTTATGATGAAAGAGGCCAATTCACACCGGGGAGAAGGAACGTGCCCCAACAGATTTGAAATATCTGTAATTTGTATATTTTATACTTTTATTTCACGACAGTTCTTTTCACAATATATCATATTTGCATGAGTCATATTAATTTGTATTTAGATGGACAAAGAATCAGTTGCCTGGAAGTGAAGCCAAAAGATTCAGTGCTCCCCCTTCTGACTGGCCGCAGTAAAGGTTATAAACCTCACCTCCTCCATGGTAACAGATGGGACATGAGTCAAACCGTTAAGTTAAAACACACGGCAAATTAACTTCTTGCTGGGGCGCCGATAGCCTAGTGGTTAGTGAGCGCGCCCCTTGAATGGCGGCTATAGTCCTCTGGCTTCTTTCCCCCACTCTTTCGGTCCTTGATTTCTGACTCTATTCACTTTTCTATCTCTAAATAAAGACATTAAAAGTCCTAAAATAAACCTTAGTAGAAATACTACTACTAAGTCTGTTGTGATAGTTAATTCTCATCATGATGATTGATTTAAAGAATTCCCTTTGCTAAGTAGATTCGTTTTAATTAGTTATTTGATGCAAAAAAAAAAAGGCCGGATGTAACATCATGATTGACAGCTCCGTTGACAAATGTGGCTCCTTGCAGCTTTCTCAACCTGATGATCAGAGTCGAGGAGGGATGGTCAGAGAATGAAACCAACAAAGCACTCGTTGAACTTTCCATAACCGTGCCTCCTCTAAACCGGATCAAGAATCTGTTCTGCTGTGGAGTGCACTTTTTTTGAGAGGTCGTTAATGTCGCAGCTCCACCAGCCAGCTTTGTTCCAATATCTGCATGTCTTGGCCCCAAAATACTCCACCAGTGCAATATGTCAGCACCCGTCACATGGGTATTTTGGCTTCACTTTTTATCAAGGGAAGTTGACGAGTTGTCCATATGTATATA